TTCCAAGTCTCAGTAGTTGTCATGTAACTATCCCTCTCCCGGGCTGGTTGGGAGGGGAGATATTCCCACCTAAGCAGGAAACGGCTGAGGGAAGGGCCAATTCCACAAGTCATCTCATTCTTAAAATGGTTTTTAATTTCAGTTGGGATACATTCAAGGCCTTATTGTAGTTTGCAAGGACTTGGTTTAATTTTTTTCAACCTCAACTTAAATTTGCATTGTGAGTTGTTGCTGGTCATCTGGCTTGGTTTTGACTGGTTATATTGAGTTTCTCCAATGTTTCTTTTCACAGATTTTTTTTCCTCCATAGTATTCAATCTGAGTCCTGTGTAGCCCATCAGATGAAGTTCATGTATGAAGTCATTATTTATATTTTAATAGTATTTATAATTAATAAATGACATATTGCACAAAATTCTATCATATATCTCAAATCTCATTTCTATTAAGGTCATTATTTTCTATCTGCAGTCCTTCTTGTTCCTGAATTTTGCATTGCAGCCACCAATTATTTTTAATAGACCTTTACTGTGTATCTGGTCAATTTCAGACTACAAAAGTTGATAGAAATCCTTAATTTATTCATCTTTGCTTTTAGTGGTTGATGCGCATATCTGAAAAATAGTTGTATTAACAGGACTAATTATACATATTGATAGTGCCCTGTCACTCACAACATTGTACTTCAGGACAGATACTGAAATGCTCTTTTTTAATGATGAAAGCTAGACCATTTCTCTTCAATTTGTCATTTCTGGCATAGCAGTTTATGCAATTGTCTGATTCAAAATTACCAATATCCAGTCATTTCAGTTGCTTTCTATGTATCTGAAAGTTGCATAATGAATAAAGAAGACAGAAGGAGAACCAATGCCTTTGAAATGTGGTATTGGTGAAAAGTATTGTCTCACAGACTGCCAAAAGGACCAGTTTGTTTTGAAGGAAAAACAACTAGAGTCCTCCTTAGAGGTAAGGATGTGAGGCTTTGTCTCACTTTGGGCCTATTCTCAGGAGAAATTGATCCTTGGAGAGAGGCATAATCGTGGAAAAGTTAGAGGGTCAGAAAAAGCGAGGAAGACGCTTCATAACATGGAATGACATGGGAACGACAACCACGGGCTTCCTGTGACACAGACTGTGAGGATTGTGCAGGATAAGGCACGGTTCAGGTCTGCTGTCCACAGGGTTGCCGTCAATCATAATCGACCTGACAGCATCTAACAACAATACTGACACAGTGACTGCTGTGTATGTTCAAGTGTGCTAGAGATGGTGAGATGTCACAGGTTGGGGCAGGGTTCAGAGGCATCGTTCATTAGGGTGCTATGAATCACAGCCGATTTGATGGCACATAACAACCACATGAAAGATTCAAAAGTTGGAAGACCAAAGAAGAACTAATGCCTCTGAACTGGGATATGGATGAAGACTACTGAATATACTATGAACTGCCAGAATAAACAAATCTGTCTTTGGAGAAGTTCAGCCAAATGCCCCTAAGAAGCAGAGATGGTGAGAGGTTTCAAACACTTCAGGCATGTTGTCAGGAGGGGCTAATTTTTACGGAAAACGTCATATTAAGTCAGGAGTCAGTGAAAAGAGGAAAACTCTAAACCACACAGCCTGACATCGTGGCTGCAAGCATGGAGCTTAGACAAAGCCATGTCAGACAACATTTCTGACAGCGAGCTGGAACTCACCTGGTTGTAACAAGCAGAAATCAATCTGACAACATCTAACAACAAGTTAATTTGCTACTGGTCTTACTGGAGTCTACCCAGCTGGAGGAAAGGGAAATACCCAACTGCATCCCTTCTATCCTTTCTGTTTCTCCTAATAAGGGATAAATGCTAGCACTTTTAAAGGTCACATTCCAGGGATACAAGCCTACTTTCTTGTTCTCTAAAGGATGCTGTTAAGAAAATGAAAAGGTAAGGAACAGACCAGGAGAAAATACATGCAAAACATATATTTAATAAAAACTTGTACCAAAAATATATAAGACAAACTTAAAAAACAAACTCACTGACCATGAGTTGACTATGACTCATGTAAACCCTTTGTTAGATTTTTAAAGTTATAAATAATTTGGGGAGAGGTCTAACTTCTACCCATGGAGAAACTGGTGAATTTGAACCACTGATCTTTTGGTAAGTAGTAAGTAAAACATGTAATCCATTTTGGGAAATTTTTTAGGCTACTAGGACTCCTTAAAACAGAGAAAAAAATTCTTAAAGCTGAGAAAATAAAACCCAATTTAAAGTATCTGAGAATATCTCAACAAAGAACATACACAGGGTGCAAGTAAACACATGAAAAGATGGTCCACATCATACGTCATTGCTGTAGTTGCTGTTAGGTGCCATCAAGTCCATCTGACTGACAGCAGCCCTATGGACAACAGACGGAAACCCTGTCCAATCCTGGGCCATCCTCGTCATCCCCACGGTGTTTAAGCCCATTACTGCACTACACACTGTTGTTGTTAGGTGCCCTTAGCACACAACAATGCCATGGGACAGAGGAGAACTGTTCCATTGGGTTTTCTAGACGGTAAACTTCACTAGAAGAGTTGCTAGGTCTTCTTCTCCGGGAACCACTAAGTTCATAATGATTGCTGAGGAGAGGAATGCATGTATTTCAGTCATATGTAGCTATGAGAAAAGTCACAACCCTGAAGTACAACTTTCCTAATTGTAAGTCATACAGTATCTATCTGTTCTGTTCAAATGGCTGCTTCTTGGTCACTTTAAAGACTAAGGAATATCCGACACAAGTCAGAGTATTTTCAATGGCTTCATATGTTTGTAAAAGTTGGAAAATGAGTAAGATTAAAAAAAAATTGATGACTCTGAAATGTGACACTGATGAAGAATACTGAATAGACTGGCAAAAGAACAATCAAATCTACCTTGGAAGAAATGCAGGCAGAGTGCTTCTTGGAAGCAAGGATGGTGAGACTCATCACACACGCTAGGGGCATGTCATGAGGAGTGGCCAGAGCCTGGAGAATTACATCATGTTCGCAAAGGAACAGTGTCAACAAAAGAGCGGAAGACCCTCAACAAGATACTCTGGTTTGGGGAGTAACAATGGGCACGGGCATGGCGGAGCGTGAGGATGGCACACGGCCACGTCAGGTTCCATTCTTTTGGACACGGAGTCAGTAACAATCAGAAACCAGCCCAACGGTGTCTAATAACAGTCATATATACGGAAATGTTTGCAGAACAATTATACGATGCTTGAGATTTGCTAAAAATTAACCCAAGAAGGGAGGAATTTGTGTGTCTAGAATCATAAAGGAAACATGACTGACTATAAGCTGGTCGTTGTTGAAACTGGGACTTTTGTTACGTTGAAAAGTTCTTTAAAAAAGGTTTTCCTCTCTATTTTCTATTTCCAAACACACAGAAAAGATGAAAGAATAGTTCATTCAACACTTATCTATCCAACGACTCGATTTTACTACGAATGCGTTTGCTAAATTTTGTTTTGTTTTGTTTTACCATGCATATATCCATCTGGTGTAAAAAAGAAAAATAGTTTCTCACATACTTTGGGTATGTGGCCAGGAGGGATCAATCTTTGGAAAAGGACATGCTCGGAAGAGTAGAGGGACGGTACAGGAGAGGAAAACCTTGGAAGAGATGAACTGATATACAGCAACTAGGGCAATGGGAATAGGTGTGTCAGAGTCGGTGAGACTGCCTCAGCACAAGTCAGGCTTCAGAGCTGTACACAGGGTCACGATGAGTCGAAGGCAACTCGACGGCACATGACAACAACAATGTTATTATTTCAAAGGAAAGATGAAGATGTTCTGGACCATTTTGATGTTAATTACCCTGGAACATGATCTAATACTTAGACCTTACTTACTTAACATATTTCATTTATAAGCCATTTGTAAATATAACAAATCCAGTTTACGTTTACGGCATTGAAGTCTATGGGGTAGAGAATAGTCTAAAAGTATTATATTTTAGGGCATTATTTTTATCATAGGAGTATGCAATGAGGGTTGCAGAGTGGATTATATTTGGGGGTAGGGAGTGGGGTTTGGGGAGGTGCGGGGGGGGGATTGTGTACCAATGAGGGAGTTTTTCTTTTGCTTTTCAAGGAGAGGAGCAAACGGGGGGGAGGGGTTTGTGCGGGGAGAAGGGTGTAACAATGAATGAATGGAATCCCAAAATCTCTGTAGATGTTCATTGAAATGAAAAATAAACAACCTAAATTTAAAAAAAAATATAACAAATCCCATTCAGAACATACCGTTAAATTAACTCTTTTCATTTTCATGTCAAAGCTATAAAAGTAATACGTTGTTGCTGCTGATTCTCGTCAGGTTGAGCACAACTCACAGTGATTCTATGAATGAAAGACCTGAGAAGCGTTACTGTAACCACTGTCATTTATCAAGCTTCATAGTTTCCCCAGGCATGTTGCTTAGGAAGTGGATGCCACGCTTGCGTCTAAACCTGTCTTAAACTGGGAACTCCACCAAACACTGTCTACCATGGGTAATCATTATGGCATTTGACACCCCAATGGCACAAGGTTCAGTATCACAGCAAACCCCAGGTTACCTCAGTACAGCATATTGACAGAAGGGTGCTGTACCACTAAGAAGAATGTTCCTCCAAAATATAGTAACAAATATAAATATAAATGTCCTACCCGAGGTCTTGTTGACTCTAAATAAGAAGCTTAAATAAATAACAATCAATACAGCATGTTTTTGTTGTTCTGTGCTGTTGAGTCACCTGCGTATAGCAATCCTATATAAAAGTAATATATGCTCGTAAAAGTTCAAATAATAGAGAACTGCAGAGAGACAGAGCAGGTCGCCCTTAGGGCATGGGCCACATGGAGGGACACACAATGGCATCATGACCAAGTGTCCTGAAAGCATGCATCAGGCAGGCTGCCTCCACTTCACTCTCAGGAGGAACGTGGCTGGAGAGCCAGACTGAGGAGCTGCAACAACCTTAACTCACCGAGCTTCCAGCTATTGTCCCCTCCCAAGAACTGGAGCACAGTTCTCACAAAATCCTTGGCGTTAAAACAAATAACAGGGCATCGACATCTCAGGGTTTGAAACAGCACTTTCCTGTAAGGGAAAATGAATTAGTTTAGACGTTAGTTTACAACATTTGACCTTGGGGGGAAAAAAAAACATTGCTCTTGCTACTGTGAACTAAATGTAGCCCTCTTTGCTACCAGACAGACTCTTTGCTTTTCTGAGAGATTAATTCACAACTCCAGATGGTGGGGATGGGTCACTCACTTTTTAAAGCTGAAGGAACTGACAAAGAGGGGTTACAGATTCTCCCGTGGTCACAGAGCCTTTAAAAGGTATATATGATTAGGTATTATTGTCATGACAGGAGTCCAGAACGAAGGCTGCATAGTGGAGTGGACTTGGGAGGAGGGATTGTATAACAATGAAAGAATTTTTCTTTTACTTTTCAAAGAGAAGAACAAACTAGGTGGGAAAGGGTGAGCAGGGAGAAAAGTGCAACAATGAATGCATGGAAATCCAAAATTTCTGTAAATTGTCATTAAAATTAATAATAATAATTAATAATAATAATTTTTAAAAGACCATATTCTTTGGTAAATCCTATGCCCTGCAGAATAACACCTACATTCCCTAGCAGAGCACACCTTTGCTGGGCTCTTTTCAACCTTGCCCCAACATAAATTCCCCAAAATCCTGCCCTCTCATCCTCAGACAGCATTTTCTTTCTACTAGGCACCAGAGTGTGCTGCTCACTGCAGAGCCCCTACACATGCTACACTGTCACCTAAAATTCTCTTCTGTGCTTTCTGCAAATTTTCTTCAGAAAGGTCCACCCTGCTTCTCCAGGCAGGCGTGGCTCCTGCACATCTGGTCCTGCCACTGTCATCAATCCACCACATTGAGGGTCTTCCTCTCTTGTGCTGTCCCTCCACCCCTCCAACCATAATGTCCCTCTCCAAGGATTGGTCCTTGCTTACAATGTGCCCAAAATATGTTAGATGAAGCCTCAGAATCCTTGCCTCCAAGGATCAGCCTGGCTCCACCCCCTCCTGGATGAACCTGTTCGTTCTCCTAGCGGTCCATGGTATTATTCAATATTCTTCTCCAGCACCACAGCTCAAAGGCATCAATTTTCTTTCTACATCCCTACTCACTGTGGTGAGGTCCCTGACAGCAGACTTTCCCAGTGCAATTTATCTTTTGATTCCATGGCTGCTGGTACCAAGAGTGTTGACTGTGGAGCCAAGTAAACCAAAGCTGCCAACAATCTCAATCTCTTCACTGTCTCTCATGATGCTGTCAATTGACCAAGTGGCGAGAATCTTTTTTTTCTCTTGATGTTGAATTTAAATTCATAGTGAAGGCTGCAGTCCTTGACCTTTAGCAGTAAGTACTTCAGGTCCTCCTCAGTTTCAGCAAGCAGTGTTGTGTCATCTGCATAATGCAGACTGTTGATAAGTCTTCTCCGGATGCCACATTTTCTCAGGCTCCCAGATTATTGGTTCTGTATAGAGATTGAAAAGGTATGGAGACAGGATACATTCCTGGCATAACACTCTTCCCAATTTTGAATTGGTCTGTTCTGACAACTGCCTCCTTGTTCAAGTATAGGTTTCGTATAAGCACAATCAAAAGTTCTGGAATTCCCATTTTTCGCAGAGTTAGTCACAGTTTGTTGTGATCCACACAGTCAAATGCCTTTGCATAGTCAATGAAACACAGATATTCTTCTGGTACTCTCTGCTTTCAGCTATTATTATTTTCAACATTAGCTATAACATCCCTAGTACCATGGCCTCTTTTAATTCAGCCTGCCCATCTGGCAGTTCTCTGTTGATGTGCTGTTCCAATTGTTTTTGGATAATTTTCAGCAGAATCTTGCTTGCATGTGATATTAATGACATTGTTTGACAATTTCCACACTCTGTCAGGTCACCTTTCTTTGGAATGGGAACAAATATAGATGTCTTCCAGTCAATTGGCTAGGTGGTTGTCCTCCAAATTTCCTGGGCACAACTTGGTGAGTGCATCCAGGGCATATATGTCAACTGGTATTCCATCAATTTCTGGGGCCTTGATTTTTTGCCAATTTTTTCAGAGCAGTTTGAACTTCTTCCTTCATCACCACAGGCTCTTGCTCACATGTTGTTTCATGTGACTGTATATTCCTTCCATTGTCTATTAATGATCCCTGGAACATTTAATATTCTGCCCAAAGCATCCTGAAGTATTGCAACTCGAGGCTTGAATTTGTTCTTCAGTTCCTTCAGTTTAAGAAATGTGGTGCAAGTTCAGCCCTTTCGATTTTCTGACTCCTATTGTGAACATTTCATGAAAATACTTTGTCTTCCCACGCTGCCCTTTGAAATCTTCTCTCCAGCTTCTAATTACTTGACTTTCCCCCTTTAATTTGGCTTCTCTGAGCTTCAGTGCAAATTTCAGAGTCTCGTCTGACATCCATCTTCATCTTTTCCTCTTCCTCTGACTTTGTAATGACTGTATGAATTCTTCATGGATGTTATTCTTGATATCCTCCCACAGCTCATCTGGTCTTCACTCACTAGCATTCAAGGCCTGAAATCTGTTCCTGGGATGGTTTTGAAATTTGGGTGGGATAGGTTCAAGGTTAAATTCTGGTTCCTGTGGATTTGATTTCATTTTAATTTCAGCTTAAACTTGCATATGAGTAGTTGGTAGAATGTCCACAATCAGCACTTGGCCTAGTTTTCACAGCTGACATGGAGCTTCTCCAGAGATTCTTTCCACAGATGTAATTGATCGGATTCCTATGCATACCATCAGGTGAAGTCCATGACTACAGCATATATGTTATATACTTACTAAACATTAACCATATGCCAGGTACGAGGCTAACACATGGCAAAGACTGTTGCCTTAGAACCTCATCACAATCCTACGAAGCAGGCATTCCATCCATTGTACAGATGGAGAAATTGAGGTTTGACAAGGTTAAGCAATTAGCCCACAGTCACACAATCAATAAATTGCAAAGCTGACATTTGAGACCATTTCTCACTGTTGCTAGAGGCCAAACCCTAAGCCAGCACACTCACTGGTCAATGCTGATTAATACATTAATGAGGTTCTTCAGAAAGAGCTGAGGAAGGAAGAGCCAGGCTCCCAGTTAGCTCTGCTCACACAGTCAGTGTGTGGAGAGTGTTTGTTGTCTCGAGTTGAAACGTGTGCTTCACAGATGGACTCTGTCACGGCCTTTTACATTTTCTTGTTGGTGTCACTTTGGCTTCCCCTACATAAGGCACCAGTGCCAGCGGCCCTACTCCACGCTGTGATGTGGACAGAGTGGGGTACACAGAAGGGAGATCATGAAGAAGAGATGATGGATACCCGGAGCATGTCTTCCACCCCAGCAGACTGGTGCTTGAAACTTTGAAGACCTTTATGGGATCACCTAATCACTACAGTATCAACAACTAAGAAGAAAGCAAAGCTGGCTGATGTGTATTCTTGCTAAGATAAACTGCAAAAAGAATATCATATAAGATAAAGTCTAAAAATTAGTATGCTTTCACCTACAACCAGGAGAAGATAAAGTAGATGAATGGGATCTTCTAAGACTCAAATCCCTATGCACATCCAAAAACTTCTCCAACAGGGTTAAAAGGGAAGCCACCAACTGGGGAAAAGTATTTG